TCCAGCAGTATTGACCTCTGTCCGGTTTTTTATAGTCTCCTCGTCTGTGTCCGTAATTGCGTCTGTAAATGCACCGGTAACATCTGATTACTGTGATTCTTTCTCTGACCCGGCAGTTCACCCAGCCGATTTTGATTCTTGAGCAGCCTTTGTGTAGTATTTCTATCATTGTCGCATATTACCATGCAGACGTCATTCTTGATTAGTCCGAAAACGTGGATCTTAAAGGGTACTTCTTGTTTTGTTTCTCATTTTAGTGCGTTCGTAACGGCATTTTTATCTGTAACAGTCCAAATTTAAAATCTTGAGTGTCAGTCCATTTTTCAAATCTCTTACAATTTCTTCATCTTCGAGAGATATGCCTAAACTTCTTTTCAAACCTCTGTTTCTGCCTTGCGACCGCTGCGAAAACGCATTAGCAGTTCTCTGTCCTTTATTTTTCGATATGCTGAGATATTCACTTTTGAACTCTCAGGATTTATATCCGTTTTTAGTCGGTGCAATGTATCCCTGTATGTCTTTTTGTCCCTTGGCCGAACCAAGATAATATTCATCCCCTCTTTTCAGGATGGTCCATCCATCTTGGGTCGAGTCTTGTCTGTTTCTGTTTGTTTTTGGGCGGATACCGACGCTGTCAATCCCTTTATTATGAGGTTCATCGTCTGTCTAGTTGGAGTCGTTGTGTCTGTATGTCCGTTTGCTGTGTCATTCTCTTTTTTTTTGGTCTCTTTTCGGAGAGAATCCTGACCTAGTCTTGTCCATCCGCTATCCTTTAATAAACTGCGCATTACTTAGGATTGGCCCCAGTGATCTCTCTCTTCCTTTTTTGTCCTTCATCTGTCTTGTATACGGTATTTTCGAGGGAGAGGCTTAGGTGGTTTATTCATTCCATGCAATTGCCACTGTTGGCCGTCGTTATATCCGTACAAATGTTCTTTTGTATCTTCGTTCAAGTCTCCGTCTTCTCAAGAGTTGCATCGATCCTTTTGAGGTGCGCCTGGAACAGCTGGACGCCGTCGATCGTCTGTCCGTTGTCTGTCTCCGCATGTTCCTCGTCTATAGTGATCGTCGACGTTCTTATTGTGCTGAATTGTACTTGGGTCTATTGTGAGTCCCCAATGTTCTGCGTTGATGACACTGAATAGTCTGCATTATTTTTTTATGTACTCTTTATTTATATGTCGGTTTATTTTTGTATATATAAAGTGTCATGTTATGGTCATAAATAGCTTCTTGAGGTCGATATAATTGTAGAAATCATAAGCAAAAATAACTTAAGGCAATATGACATTTTTATTTTATCATTCTTTAGATGAACCGTGTCTAATGATACGGCTAGAAACATTAACAACAAGAAAAACCAAAAGAAGCAAAGGTTAAAAAATGGATAAAGAAGAATGCTTAATAGATAAAAAATATAGTTGCAATCAATTAAAGCGTTTGTTAGGTAAAATGAGTTATAATGGGAATAAAGGATCTACTTCGGAAGACCATGAGGAGACTACGTTTTCAGATATTTTAATTTTAGATGTTAGAACTTACTTATATGCATATAAAATATGCAACACTTTGCAGCAATGTACATAGACTATAAAACATCACATAAAAGTGTAACAATATACAATTGAAAATAATTAAAAAAAGATCAGCTGAAGAATTCAATATTATAACGAAAATAGAAAATAAATTTACTAAATTAAATAGTTAAAAAGAAGGAAAGAAACAAAATACAGTCATACACTACGTAACTAAACCTGCTAACAAAATTTAAAAAAAAATAAAGTTCATTAAAGCATCAATCTAGGAATCTGATAAGCTTAGCACTAGAAACAGTGAAATATAGAAACGAATTGAAACAGTTTTCGATACAATAAACGAGTTCATTAAAGTAAACAGTTATAAGTCCAAGGCCACAAAAATAAGAACTATTCCGGGTAAACCAATATAGCAACCAAAATAGCATCAATTACTCAGCTAATAATAAAGCAATACTCTACTTTGATAGAGTAAAAAAGGAAAACAAACATTTAACAACAACTTAATGAATTTATTAAAATTACAACGAACAAACAAAGACCTAGTAGTAGTTGATTTACATAGTTTTTGAGCATCTTAAAGTTCTGACATAACTATACAATATATTTTTCCTCACTATAGAGTTATTTATACTATTGTACTTACATGTCTGGCACAACTAAATAGCATAGAAAAAATCATTTACGTAAAAGACAAGAAAACAGGTGTAGGATGTTTTATAAAAGCGACTGAGATACTAATCAGATACTGGTAAAGAAGAATAGATAAGAACATTAAAGGACAATACCTATCTATCTTGGTCTAGTAGTACTATACTACTGAAGTATGAGCGAAAAAATATCATAAATTTAGATTTGAAATTGATGTTTAGTTTTAGTATAAACGAAATTAGCGAATCACTCTACCAAAGAAATTTACTTTCCTGCTGGATTGCGTCATAAATATAATTTATATATATATTTATTACGGGACAGTAATTTGTATATGTTATAATAAGCGGAAATTAACCTCGTTATACCTTGCTCTCTCTATTTCTAATCTATTATTTCTATTATATTATTACGATATTTATATGTATTTGCTTTGTTCTACAATGGTCACCATTAAATTACTTCTACGCTGCGAAACAACTTATAAGGTAAATGAGAGAGAAATAGACAGACACGCTATGACAAGCGGGCACTCACGTTTTAGAGAGAGACAGTGGCAGGCAGTTTTGTAATCGTTTTAGTAGCAGTTGGCTATAAAGAAGGAAGGAATGCAGATCAATATCGTTATCGATTTCCAGCAGTGAAGTGAATTAATCATCCGCAACCAAGATTAGACAGATAACGTATTGGTGATGTTCGTGTTACCTCTCACCAACAATTGTCCTCCACTCTATGTAGAGATTTAGCGATTACGCGGTCAATTAACAATTTTTATATTGAGGACGGCAGTGATTCACACCGAATGTAAGTACTGACTCCGTAGCTGTCTCTCTCTAACTTACTGCTTTCTTGCTTAGTATTTCTCTCACTTGCCGTTTCTATTGCTAATGTATTCATTGGCTTGTCAGTAAATGATTTTAATACACATACTTCTGGCATACTTATTTGTTCAAGCCTATTCCATGCCTGACTTAATTCGTTTTCCTTGTCGGTTCTTCGGTTACGATCACACTTCTCTTTATTCGCGAATTTCAACTGCCGATTGTGCGCCGGATGAACGAATGAAATTTTGCTGTAAAGTTTAGTAGGGTCGAATTTTACTACAATCCCAACGAGGCTCGAAACTTGTAGTTATATTTTCTTCTCTCATTAATAATCTATTTTATATTACGGTTGGCTACCGAAATTGACGGTTTTAAATAAAAACCCTGTTATAATGTGTTCTGCTTAATAAATAATTAAATATTCCATGTCTTATAATTTAGTCAATAATCAATATTTTCAAATAAGTGTAATAATCATTCAATATTAAATTCGGTATTTTTCTTATTGATATTAACCCATTAACGTCCAAAATGTCAAAATTTCTTGCACGTTTTCAAAGTGATTTTTTCCTATGTAATTGGCGTTGAAAAAATTCTTGAACCACATATTCTGATGTAAAATTGCATGCTCTTTCAGAATCCGTTGCTAGAATCATGATAAAACTCACAGGAAAAGAGATATGCTCGATTGAAACATAAAAAACACCTAAATTTTCGAAAAAAAAAATTTTTAGGATTTTTTTTCGAAGTGTTACGGTGAAGATATCACCTTGCGACCGTGATCAAAGGTGATCATGGGATTTGAAGTTTAACAGGAAATTTTTTTGTTTACCGTGAACCATCGCTTCTTTACAAAATGGCGGAAAAAACGAATTTTTTTTTTTCAATCTTCATCAACATTTTTCTCAAAATCTATGGTCTTTAGAAAAAAATTCATAAAAACAAAAATGCCTTAGAATCGCTCGAGCAACATTCTCAAATTTTTTCAGAATTTTTTGAGACAATTTTTGATTTTCCGGGAAACTTGGGAAATGGAATTTTCAAAAATGTCTCCAAAAATTCTGAAAAAATTTTAGGATGTTTTTCGAGTGATTCTAAGACATTTTTGTTCTTATGAATTTTTTTCTAAAGTCCATAGATTTCGAGAAAAAAATTGATAAAGTGAACATAGCGGCCGAAACGAATTTTTATTTTTTCAACTTTATCAATTTTTTTCTCGAAATCTATGGACTTTAGAAAAAAATTCATAAGAACAAAAATGTCTTAGAATCACTCGAAAAACATCCTAAAATTTTTTCAGAATTTTTGGAGACATTTTTGAAAATTCCATTTCCCAAGTTTCCCGGAAAATCAAAAATTGTCTCAAAAAATTCTGAAAAAATTTGAGAATGTTCCTCGAGCGATTCTAAGGCTCTGAAATTTTTGTTTTTATGAATTTTTTTCTAAAGACCATAGATTTTGAGAAAAATGTTGATGAAGATTGAAAAAAAAAAAAATTCGTTTTTTCCGCCATTTTGTAAAGAAGCGATGGTTCAAGGTAAACAAAAAAATTTCCTGTTAAACTTCAAATCCCATGATCACCTTTGATCACGGTCGCAAGGTGATATCTTCACCGTAACACTTCGAAAAAAAATCCTAAAATTTTTTTTTTCGAAAATTTAGGTGTTTTTTATGTTTCAATCGAGCATATCTCTTTTCCTGTGAGTTTTATCATGATTCTGGCCACGGATTCTGAAAGAGCATGCAATTTTACATCAGAATATGTGGTTCAAGAATTTTTTCAACGCCAATTACATAGGAAAAAATCACTTTGAAAACGTGCAAGAAATTTGGACATTTTGGACGTTAATGGGTTAAGCCTATATTTTAGTTTCATCTGAAAAACATCCTACTTTCTTCATTTAAGAATAAATTTTCATAGAATTTCGTATTTAATTTTAAAGCAAATTTCATGAACTGTATCTAGAATAAACTAAAGTAACTTTTTTAGGAAGTCATGGCGATTATGGTGCTTCAATAGCTGATGTTGTTCTACCCGGCGCAGCATATACTGAGAAATATGGCACCTACGTGAATTTGGAAGGAAGATCTCAACAAACTAGTGCTGCAATCACGCCACCAGGTTTAGCACGATCTGACTGGAAAATTATTCGAGCTATATCTGAGGTAACGTTACAAGTACTCTTTTTATATTATTACTTCGTTGTATACTCTATATATATATATATATATATATATATATATATATATATATTGTAACGGGGGGATAAACCTGCAAAAATGGGAAATTTATATAAGAGCAAACTCCCACGATGCAGAGCAAACCGCCGCTCCGTTAACACGTATGTTAGTACGTGTATTCGCCTTAACGTCAGCTGATTTAATTTGATTGTCTTCAATCAAGCAGAGTTGAACTCACCTTAAGTCACGTGCTTTGTGACACATGATGAGTTTGACGTGTGAGCGACTTTACTCCTTCTCCGCTTAATCCCCTAGACGTAATAGGATTAACACCTAAGCCTATTTCAATTTCTTAAACTATTAGGAAAATCATATGGCGAAATCGGCGAATAAGTTTAACAAAGTTTATTCAAAAATCTATACAGTCTTTGTCGGGCCGAAAGACTGACGCACGCGAATAGGATTTACAATCAAATAATTTTCCGTGGGAAAGAGAGAGAGAGAGAGAGAAGATACGAAATTTGGCGCGATCTAACGCTCGGCGCGAATACAAAATTATTAACGCTAACGTGGCTAAACAAAATAATAAATATATTTTGACACGCGATAATAAAGGGAGGTGCACCTACCCTGCGGTGCAATTACGGTGATCAGCCGTAATTGTTGATGCCAATAAAATGTATCAACTGCCTCCGGAACTGTTATCTCAGCTGCGCTGTCTCGTGCCGCCTATCAGCTGCAAATGCTGCAAATGCTGCTCCCGTGATGCTGTAATCTGCCGATCACGTGGTTGCACTCGCGCGTGTAATTACTCCTGGTAAAACTATCACTCGGCGAGAAAACAGTGCAAACAAAATTCGGCGGTATCCACAGGTATCAACAGCTGAGACGTAACTGCTAATTTGAAAGATCGCGCGCCCCCTCTCTCTCTCAAAACTTAGAACTAACGCGCGAAATTCAGAATCGCGAACGGTTCGATTAATTGAATCGACTACCGTTGCAGCCCCCTCCAAGTCCTGACTACCCGGGCAGGACGAATACCCGCGATTCGCTGCCATCAGGAACCTGAAAGTAATAAAGAAGGAAAGGAAACAAAATAAACACTCCCTTCTCTATTTCGGCTAATTTATTTGCCCTCCAGGGCCTACATCATTGTTTGGCTACACCTGGCGCGCGATGTTTCGGGTAGCGCCAGTGTGTAGCCTTCTTCGGGCACCGCTGGGAGTTGGTCACCCCAGGCTCTCCACAGATGTAGCAGCCCCTCAACTGCGACCGAGATTGAGCAGCCTCCCGTCCTCGTGATGGCTGCTCAGCAGCCAGAGGGGACTGCTGGGCACTGACTCCCTGTGAGGCGACGATAGTCACGCCTCCCACCGTGGCGGTCGCACGTCCATCCTGCGACCTAACCACGATGGTGGTATCAGGAGCCATGCGCCCGTCCACATGGACCGTGAGCGTCGGTCCAGCGTCAGTAGCTCCCGGGGCTCTCTTCTCTTGAGCCGGCGCCGGGAGCGCTGCGGAGGACTCTTGTCCATTATCCACCCGCAGCAGGGCCTCTCCATAGGCCCTCTGACGCTGAGCCATCCCTGCCCACTCCCCGAGCAGCTCTTCTGCGCCCTGGCGGCTCAAAAAGCGTCTCAGGTGCTCCTGCACCTGAGACTGGAGTTCTTGAGCGAACCGCCAGGCACTCCCCACCTCGTTGATCCCCAGACGCACGTGTCTGAAGTCGAGGAGGAGAGTAGGCTGCTCAGGGATCCGGGGATGATTGCAGACCCAGTGCGAGGCCCCACAGGTTTCCCTGGGCCCTGGGCATTGGCTCGCACTGTCCGACGTAAGGGTTACGCCGGACTTGAGGGTCTGCACCCCCTGGTCCACTGTAGACTTGGGACGTTCGACACTGTCCTGATCCTCGGTCTGCGTCGAAGCGTCCCGAGAAGCCTTCTTCGGGGCAACCCACGACGAATCCCGGAGAACCTCTGCCACCGAGGCATTGCGCCGATCCCTTCGGGTGGTCCCTTCCAACTGGACCCTGGCGAAGCTCCGCAGATCTTCAATTAGCTGCGTCGCATCAGAGCCCAGTTGCAGATCCAACAACATCTGCGTGACCACCTCGAAGGTCTCCTCTTCGACGACGATTCTCCGGTCCATCTGAAACATCCAAAAAACAACAAATTTCGGATGAATCTCCCTGCGCGAAGAAACAATCCTAATAATAGCCGCATCCCACCGAGTTATACGCTCCCTCGCGATTCTTTGTGGGAACGCCCTGGTCCTCGTCGGTTACCGCTCGGTTTTATCGGCCCAACCGTCCTTTGTACGACGGGCACGGTCCTTCGAGGCCTACCTCTCCCTCTATTCACCTTCACGGGAGAGTTGTTGCCCCTCGCTGGACCGGTGACCGCCTCTGGAACCTTTCGAGGTCGACCTCGACCTCTCTTAGTTGGGGCAGATACCGGTAACTCCGACGTCTCGGTGGGAACTTTATCTACGACCGTGGGGGCTGCTAACTGGACCCGCTCGCTATCTGCTAAATCCCCTCCCGGATTTTCGCGCGCATTCGCGGAGTCGTTCGCATCCTCCGACGGCAGTTCTTCTGGCGGCTCGCGAGGTTCGATGACCTCCTCGCTTTCCTCATCCTCACCCGGACCGTAATATGGTTTAAGGTCTTTGGCATGGAAGAGCTCAGGCAGGATCTCCAGCTGATTGCCTAGCCTGTACGTGTTGGAACCACAAACCTCTTCAATCACGTACGGGCCGGCATATTTCGGCGCTAATTTAGCTGAAATACCTTGAGCAGCTGAAGATAGAATCCTGTTCCTCTTCCAAACCCAATCTCCGACCTTAAACTCGGGTTGCCGTCTCTTCCGGTCATAATAAGCCGCCTGACGCGCAGCTTCCTCCTTTGACTTGGAGTTAGCTCTCTCCCACAAATTAGGAAGCTTCTCCATATGTTCAGCCCAATCTTCCACAGCCTGACCCTCCGAACATTCAAGGGCCTGCTGATCTTGGGTTCTTCTGAACGTCAAAGGAGGTACCGGCTGACGCCCAAACATGAGCATCGCAGGACTATATCCGGTGGCGCTATGAGTTGCCGAGTTCAACGCGAAGTTGAACTCTGACAGGTGTTCATCCCAGCTCTTGTGATCATGGCTTACATAAGACGTGATCATGGTTTTGAGTGTCCTGTTTACTCGCTCTGTGGGATTCGCTTGGGGATGGTACACGGGAGTTAAGGCGCGCTGGATGCCGTTCATCTGGAGGTATGAATCAACCTCCTGATTCTTAAACTCGGTTCCATTATCCGATAAGAATACTTCTGGCGCGCCAAACCTAGTGACAATCCTCTCGTGTAATTCCCTTGCGATTGTCTTCCCATTGGCTTTGCGTATTGCAATACACTCTACCCAGCGAGTAAACAAGTCTATAAAGACTAAGATATACTCAAAACCTCGAGAGCTTTTGGGAAATGGACCAGTGATATCACCGGCCACCACCTGCCAGGGTCGTGACAGTTGTCTACGACCCATCAGCCCGCAAGGTGCTCTTTGTTCCACCTTGCACTGCTGACATACCGGGCAACTCTTTACGTACTCCCTGACCTGATCATACATTTTAGGCCAGTAGTACAAGCGCCTAGCCCTGGAGAACGTACGCTCTCGTCCTTGATGTCCTGCTGTAGGAGCATCATGGACTTCTTGGAGCACCTGGTACCTTTTCTCCCTAGGTACCGCAAGCTTCCACGCTTCATCGTTGTCGATGGACCCTTCACCATCCTCATCAGGCTGATAATGATACAGTCTCCCTCCCACCACCTTCCAAGTGGGGTAAGAGTGTGGATCCTGGCATACTTCCTGGTATTGTTGCAAATACCAGGCGTCAGTGGTCTCCGGCCGACTATTTATAGCACTCACTTCAATCCCCTCCTCCTCATAGGCCCAAGATAAAGCGTCTGGCACCACATTGAGATCCCCCCTTCGATATTCGATATCGAAGACATTACCTTGCAATGCTAGCGCCCATCGCGCTAATCTTCCAGTGGGGTTTCTCATATTGTGGAGCCATTTCAGGCAACTATGATCGGTGACGACCCTGAAGTGATGCCCTTCAATATACGGCCGGAACTTTCCAATGGCCCATACTACTGCCAAGCACTCTTTCTCGGAGACCGTATAATTTCTCTCAGCACTGTTGAGTGATCGGCTGGCGTATTCTATTACGCGCTCCACTCCATCGACATCCTGTGCGAGAACTGCCCCGATCCCACTGTCACTAGCATCAGTTTGCAGTACAAACTGACCGTTCGGATCGGGCGATTACAATATTGGGGCGGAAGTCATCGCCTCCTGCAATCTCGTGAAAGCTCGCTCTTGCTCCTCCTCCCAAGAGAAACGTACATTCTTCTTTGTCAGGCGGTTTATAGGTTCAGCGATCATGGCAAAGTCGGGTATAAAACGTCTATACCACGAGGTCATTCCCATGAATCGCTTCACCTGTTTGACAGTCCGGGGTGTTGGATATTCTAATATCGGGCGTATCTTCTCGGGATCTGGTCTTACTCCGTCCTGGTTCACAAGAACTCCCAAGTACCTGACTTCCGTCTTACAGAAGTGACTTTTCTCTTTGTTGATGGTTAGGCCCGCACCTAGAATTCTTTTTAATACCCTTTCTAGGTGCCGCTTATGCTCCTCAAAGGACGACGAAACCACGATTACGTCGTCAAGGTAGGCAAAAGCGAATGGATCCATATCCGGGCCTATTACCTTGTCCATCAACCTCTGGAAGGTCGCTCCTGCGTATGACAGTCCGAAGGGCATTCTCTTAAATTGAAAGTGCCCTAATCCAGGAACTGTAAACGCTGATATTGGACGCGATTCTTCCTTTAAGGGAATTTGATGGTACGCACTGCTCAAGTCCAAAGTAGATATGAACTTGGCATCCCTTATTCGTCTTAGGATGTCGCTCATATATGGTAAAGGATAGGCATC